GGGAAGGGAGCATGGAGTCAGGGTAGGGGAGGGCACAGTACTATTCATCATAGGTAGGTGCAAGCACCCTGCCCCCTTCCCTTTGGGTTGGGGTGTGCCGCTGGGATGCTGAAACCCTTGCCTTATACTAGACCATGATCAACTTGATTTTGCAACCCTATTCTAGACTAGACACCAAATAACCCCTCCCTGTCTCAGACAAGCTATTTGCCATGCAGAAACTTTATCACTACCATTGTCCAACATATGCTAACTAAACCAATATCTTACAAACCCACTTCGGAGTTTCAATTTCTATTGTAAAACCGTGGGTGAAGACCTCTGTTCAGGACTTAATTATTGATATACACTGGCCACTTTCCTGGTGAATTATACCCTATTCTATACCAAAAATGTCTGATTTCTCTACCCTGTCCCAGACTAAACTGCCTGAAAACCACACCCAACACAGCGGCTCATACATGTATAACATATACATGGAAGTATTCCCCCTGGCAAAGCCCTTTTGAGGGTTTGAATTTGCGTTCCAAGGACTTTGGAAAACAACAGATTTTTGTAACAGATTTTTGCAAGGACATTTTGGTGGAGTAAATAGATAAGATTAAATTTAAAAAATGAAATCTTGTAAATTAGGAAACTAGTCAAAAAAAAAAAAATAAGTAAGTTGAAAGCCACATGTATGCATTGCAGATATGTCTTTATGTTCCTTTTCTTGATCACAAACTGAAATAGGGTCCATATTTTGATCATCTCTGGAAATACATAGAGAAAATCGCTTTTTAGGTCTCAAATAGATTAATGATTTCAAGCGCCATCCTCCAGCCAAATTTTGGTGAGTACCCCTTGTGGTCCAAGCTGATGTGAGCCTTACTGAATTATTTTATTATTTATTCTTTTTTACTAATTTTACACAATAATTATTGGTTCATTTACCTCTACAGGGTTTATGGAGAATATCTACCATGAAGAAGACAAAATCATTTTAATACATGTAGTGGAACAACTGCATCTTCCATTTCTAGCTGGTATGAAAACAATAGCTGTAGTCAAGTGTCTCATAATGTACAATTATGGACAAAAGTCTTGGGACAAATTTGCACTTTTGGTGCTTTTGGGCACACGCCAGACACAAATACAACTTCAGCTGCCTAACCTCACCCCCCACCCCCCAAACAATGTTGAAAACTACTAACTGATTTTCAACATTGTATTGGGTGGGGAGGGGGAAGGGCAATGCATTTTTAAGAGGAAAGCAGCGCTTTTTTTCAAACTTCGGCAGTAAAACACAGATAATTAGTTAAATTACATAAGTGTTCCAAGGACTTTTCTCCACAATTGTAGTTGTGACCCGCAACTACAGATGCTCTTCTCTCCAAATGGAAAAAGGCAGTTGAAGTCCCAGGGAGGAGGGGGTCTCCCCCATCACAGTTTGGTTCCAGAAAATATCTATTTCCACCCCACAGAGGGTCACAGAAATTCCAGGGAGTTAGAGGGGTTTGAAAGAGGTAAATTCCAAGTGAATTATCCAGGGGTAGGGGAGCCCAAGAAGAAAAAACAATGGAAAATTCTAGGGGCTGGGGGGAGTAATGTAAAACCCCTTGGAACAGAAAATACTTAAGGGTGGTGGGTCAAACTAGACAAAAAAAACCCTGCAGGGGGTTTGATATTTTCTGGAATCAAGCTATAGAAATAAGGCTGGTCTTGTTCGAACCTTTTACTTGTAAGAGAACCAGAATTTGTAAATGTGACTTAAGTTTATTTTTGCTGCTAATTAATTACCAATTAACTGACACTGGCAATATAAGTTTTAGCTTTACCCTGAAAGGTAGTGTGATTACTGTGTTCATTTTAGATTTAAACACCCAAGAAGTAACAATAAGCACCCATTTTATTTTTTGTAAGGGAATCCTCTCCCCTTCCCCCTCCCCCAGGCAGGAGTACCACCACAATAAAGAACACCTTATCATAGCTTAATGCAGGTGCTGATCAACAAAGTGATAGAAATTTTTTGCCAATTATATTTGTAGTAATTTTGACATCTCCCAGTTTCATTTCCAATAACATTATTAAAAGGGCTGGTACACTGTGACAATCAGCAGTCATTGTTCTACTGTAACACGGGCACACCATGTCAGTTCACAGGCCCCGTACAACATTTTTGCTGAGATTGCCAAGATTTCATCAAGATCTCAGCGTGATGTTTGTGAATTTCAAAATCTCGGCAAGATCTTGGCAAGATTGCCTACATCTTGCCAAGAATGATGAAAACTTGCCGAGACTTTGGTAAAATTGAGTTGAGATCTTTGTGTTGCTCTTCATCATTAGCACTTTCCAGGCTCACCAGCATGCTTCATCACTTCATTAAGTGCTTTTAATTTCGGACACAAGAAGTGTTGGAAAATAAATTTAAACCATCCAAAATTTTTAAGCATCCAAAATTAGTTTCTGACTGAGCTACAAAAATACGTCAAGCAGAATATTGTAAGGTCCTAGCAGGGCTAACTGTCCCAAGAAATTGAGCCTGATGTACACGTTGAATAATTTTTGTGCAAATACACGGGTTTAAAAGCTCAAAATTTTACAAAGAAAGTATGGGCTCGTAAGTGCTTTTGCCATTCAGATATTTTGAAAGTTAAATATTTTACAATATCTCCTTCAATATTACATCCAAAGAACAAAAAATTTCACTTTGTACCAAGTTTTACTAGATCTTAATCTGTTTGGAGTCAATTCATATCTAACATGATGTCTTTTCTATGCAAATTAAAGTCATATGCTTATGGGGCAAAATGTAAACAATGATGCCAACAAAAATTGCTTTATAACACAGTATGACTGCATTTTCTAATTTTGTGTGTGC